TGAAACGATAAAATGGGTGTTGAATCCAACTCATTAAGCAAATATCAGACGCTAGGTTAGGACAATGCTTGATCAAGCATTCACTAAAAATGTAATAGAACATCAAAACAGCAGGTAAAGAATTCTGGCTCCTCATCAACAAAACATTGCCAATGAAAAAGGATGCAATAACAGAACATACTTTCATATTACCTTTCCTGACTTGCCTATTTTTCAAAAAAAAAAAATCATCTTGGTTCAACTTGTGTGTCTGTGTGTGCATGTGTGCTAGTTGAACATAATTTTTTGTGCAACGGGCATGTCTTTCACAGTTGACAGGTCACCTATTAAGAACTATAAGAACATTGTGAAAAAAAGGCAGGATCAGGAATACTCCAAACCTACTGTAGATGTCTTGTTGCCCACGATTGCTTGCAAAGGCATGGCGGGTGAGTGGGGATCCACAGGGAGTGAATACATGGAATGGGATTTCTTCTGCCTCTTGAGAGGTCCATGGTTGTGATCAAATATGCTGTTACGAGGCAAGCTAGATTGCATTCCACCTCCCTGCCTTGACTGCCTACAGAAGTTTATGAAATACAAAGCACACTTTAATGATCATGGAATAATTATTGAAGTTACCAATTTGTTCATCTCAATGAATGCAAATGCTTTAGCCTTTTGCCCTGTTCGCTTGGCTGATAAGCCATGGCTGAAAGTACTGTTGGCTGATTTGTCGTGAGAGAAAAATAATGTTCGTTGCCTGAAAAAGTGCGGCTTATAAACCAAGTGAACATGGCGTTTATACAGGCCTACATGGTACCTTATTCTATGGATAGCCTCCTCTTCATCGACCATGTTTAAGAGCATTCTGTGTTCCACATCAGAGACTCCACTCTCTTCTTAGTTCAGTGATTAAACTTTCTTTTTCCTGTACAAGACCCTTGTTAAAATTTCTCGGTAAGGAATATAATAGGCTACAATAGTCACCAATAAGTTTCCATTGATGAGATTACCCATGTCATGTCAGGGCATCCGATTGCACTTTGAATGCTCTGAGAACACCAGTATATGCCTGTTGCTCAATCTGATGTATATCGCGATCCAACTTGATGTGCGGTCTTCGCTGAGAAAGTGTGCCTGCTAATGACCTTCCGTTCCCCCTGAAATGCACTCTTGGTCCTCTAATTTGATATGTTGGAGGGAGCTCATCACCGGTCACTGAAATCAGGCAAATAATCAATACAACAGTAATGCAAATACCACGTTCGCTGGTAGGTTTCTGAGCTGATAAGTCCGGCTGGTGCTGGTTTGTTGTGAGAGAAAAATATTGTACCATAGCTGATAAGCCCTGGCTGAAACTAACAAGCGAACAGACTTGTTGAGTGGCGTCTGTTCTGATCTGTGCTGTTATAGAAAGTGCGGCTGTGCCGCACCCAGCTGCAACAGCAAACCATGTTATGCATAAATTGTCATTTGCATCACGCTTTACATACATAACACAATATGCAGCACCCTATAGGAGCATGGATGTACGGGGAGCTCCATCACTTTCACTAAAATGTGAATCTTGGCTTCTTATGTCAATTTGAGAATTCAATTCTCTATTCACATATTTAGGGGAGGCTCTACACCCATGGCTCGAAAGTCTCAGTATTTATTTCATATCTTTTATAAGCTCTAATTGAGTTGTCATCAATCACCAAAAATGAGGAGATTGAAAGTGCAATCAAGCTTTATTTGTGGGTTTTGGTGATAATGACCACGCAATTAGAGAACTAATAAGATTTATCGAGATAACAAGTAGGGAATTTATATTCGAGGATGCTACACGGAATGGAGGAGCCTCTAATTATAAATGTAGATGGCATCAAACTCAAAGGAGGTTTAAATTCTTTTATATATTGAATTTGAGTATAGAAAAAGTCATACTATAAAGGAGAGCACAATGTTTAAGCTAATATGTAATACCAAGTGCTCAACACAACCACAAGCATCCTTAGATTTACAGCCAAGACTGTCTGCACTTCACTATTACCCTTGCTGTCTTGTGTGGTGCGAGCTCAGTCTCGCCCGACCCCTTGGGTGCTGGATCCGGCTCGCCCGACCCCTTGGTCGCGGGATCCGGCTCGCCCAACCCCTTGGTCGCGGGCTCTGGTTCGCCCGACTCTTTGGTCGTGGGCTCTGGTTCGCCCGATCCCTTGGTCGCGGGCTCCGGTTAACCCTAAACCCCTTGGTCGCGGGCTTTGTCTCGCCCGACTCCTTGGGTGCGGTATCCGTTGCGGGCTGGAGGTATATATACCTTTCCCTTTCCTCGCCAACGGCATTCTGCGATTTAAAGTGATCGTTGGGGGGCTGGGGGTATATATACCTTTCCCTTTCCTTTCCAACGGTAACCAACCTGGGCTCTTCTCTTCCTCACTTCAGCACGCCCAAAACAGAGCAGGAGCTCTCTCTCTCACTCCATTGTTGACTTAAATCCTCCAAGCAAATCCATTGATTTCACATCAATCCTTGGGGGATAAGGGTCCAAAAACTCGATTAGAGAGCAGCTCCATTGATTCCCAAACTCTAAAGAGCACTTGGTTCACGTTTTAGCCGGTGGTTGTGTTTGTTACTCTTGGAGCTTAGCTCCTAGTCGGCTAGAGCGTCGCCCGCAGAGCTTGCCAACTTGTGTGGCAGCCCCAGGAGGTTTGTAACCATCTCTTGAAGCTAGTAAACTCACCCCTCATCTCAAGAGTTAAGTCTCTTGACTTGAGAACGAGGAAGGGCTGAAAAGCTCTAAGCCTTAGTGGCTAACCTCAACAACATGGAGGTAGGCAAGCCTTGGTGGCGAGCCGAACCACGGGATAAATCATTATGTCACTTGTGCTTGATTTACATTACTTGCATGATATATTGTTGTTTGAGGTGATTTCTAGAGTTTGTGACTGATCTACTTGTGTATGGTGTTCTCACCATTTTAAGCTATCGATCTGTGATCTACTACCCTATAGGAAGCTAAGAAATTTACCCTATCTAAATTTTATTGGGTAGATTTTGAACTGTGAACTAATCTCTGTTGTAAGTGCGACAGTGCCGCGCTCACAGAGCGGCAGTGCCGTGGGTGAATTTGACTTGGGTTTGAGTTGATTTTTATAGGCCTATTCACCTCCCTCTAGGCGTACCAGTGATCCTACACTTCCCCACCGCCGTCGAGCTAGAGCACCTCCACCACCGACAGATCCAGCCTTCCCCACCGCCGTCGTCGAGCCGGACCACCTCCATCACCGGCGAATCCGCGCTCCCCTTCCCCTTCTTCCCCACCACCGAGCATGGATCCGACGGAGCACCTCCATCACCGGCTACGCACGGGGCAAGGCTTCCTCAGCAAGCAGGGCAAGGCCCCCCTCCAGCGGCGGCGATGGATCTACGCGGCCACTCCTCCGGCGCTCCCCCTATCTACGGATCTAAGCGTGGCAACTCCTTCGGCGACGGCTACGGGCACGGACGCGGCGGATCCACGCAACCCTTCCTCCGGTGGCACGTGGAGCGAGGCCCTCCAGCGGCGGTGGGCTCACCGTGCAGCGGCGCGGACACGGCGGCAGCGGGCTCGGTGGACCTCGGTAACGGCCTCGGTGGGCTATCGGGTCGCCGTGCTTTTGTTTAATTCGTGAAATTTTTTACACAAGCAAGCATTTGTGCCCGCCTCTATTATTTTGATTAACGCAGGTGGACGCAACGTCAAGACTGCGTTGATTTTGATTAACATAGACCTTTTGAGGCAGGCGGACATGTTGCTCGTCTCGGTAAATGAGTTTTGCCTCCCTGCAAAGTTTCATTCTGTAGTACTGGTGGTGGTTGAAAGGTTGTGGGCTTTGGACGGCGCAACTTCGGGTGGATCGGGCATCGGCCAGCTATGGATGACGTGGCTCCAGTCATCATCGGTGGATTTGATGTCGGGCCACCATGGACATGGGTGGCTTTGGGTGTCATGGGCAAATTTGGCATAGGCTTGCGAACGTCGCGGGAGGCCCAGTGGCATCCTCGGCTAGCACCAACACTCACACCAAAAGGTTTGGGACATGCGCATGAGACTTCCTAGTGTGTGTGGTGGGGAGGGGGGGGGCATTTGGCAGATGATGGTGTTAAAAACTCCCTCCCATTCACTTGATTCAATTCTCTCAACCAAGCACAAAATATAGATTATTTTGTTTCCTTCAATGAAACACTTAACTTAACTGGGACAATCCTATCTAATAAAACAGGAACAAAACTATAAAATTCTATTTTTTTCTCCGATCCAAACACACGCTTACTGACTTATAGTCAGATATTTAAAATATTGATTTCTGATCGTATGCATCCTAAATTCCCCGCATACAGTATGGTTTTGAGGTTAATATTCAATTACATCTATATGAACAGGGCAAAAACCACCGACCTACATGAGAATCGCTGCCATGTTACTTCAATTAAAAATCACCTCAAAAAATGGAAGATTCAAATTTCAAAGATAAAATGTATGAGGTACTATTTACGTGGTACCGGAGTTGGACACTTCACAACTCGATAAACATAAATGTTAATGTTAATGGATCAAATGAGTTAGTTTCCATTTTAGCGCACGCTACTATACTCCGCAATACTAATAGATGGCGTTATACTTCACAGGATCAATCATTTTCATGCACCGAAATTAACATTAGAAAAAAAAAAAGTATACGATTTGTCACCATTTCACCAACTAGCTTTTGTCCATTAAAAAAAACAAAGTCCATTCCAATGTCTCTATATCAATCGCGAATACGCTTTATACTTCACTATACATATCAATTATTTAGGGTAGACCTAAAGCATCCTTAAATCAGAAAAGAAATTGAAATTTGTCAGTTGTCACCAAATAATTTTGTCCTACAATACATTCTGTTTTGAAAAGTAATTTAGTCACATGCTTTATCACGACCAAAGGCGAAGAGACGTGGTCACTGAATTCACTAGCTCTGAAATCCCCTTCCTGCTGCCGCGAGAGCGCACCAGCGATGCCGTCGGCGGGGCCGCCGGCGCAGCCGCCGCCGCCGTGGAGCAGGATGGAGGGGCAGGTGGTGCTGGTGACGGGCGCCTCCTCCGGCATCGGCCGCGACTTCTGCCTCGACCTGGCGCGCGCCGGCTGCCGCGTCGTCGCCGCCGCCCGCCGCGCCGACCGGCTCCGCTCGCTCTGCGACGAGATCAACGCCTCCGCTGCCGCCCAAGGCCCCCGCGCGGTGGCCGTGGAGCTCGACGTCGCCGCCGGTGGCTCGGTCCTGGAGGCAGCGGTGCAGAGGGCCTGGGACGCCTTTGGCCGCATCGACGCCTTGATCAACAACGCCGGCATCCGAGGTACGAGTATCCATCAAATTAGAGCTCAGATATGTTCGTTTAGGGATCTAAACACCAAATGAAAATATGCACCAAACCAAACTAAGCTCAGATGTGTAATCCCATTTCATTTTTTTGAGAGAATGTAATCCCATTTCGTTACCGAGCCAAAAACGTATTGGCTTGCGTGTATGGTAATATCTGTGCTTGTTGCTTATTATACCTCAGGTGCAGTGCATTCTCCATTAGATTGGCCTGAGGATGAGTGGGACAGAGTCATCAAGACGAACCTTACCGGATCATGGCTCGTGGCCAAACATATCTGTCGACGCATGCGTGATGCCAAGCTAAATGGTTCAGTGGTTAACATCACCTCTATTGCTGGTCTTAACCGCGGCCATCTGCCTGGCTCCACTGGATATGCATCCTCAAAGACTGCTGTGCATTATGCCACCAAGGTAGCACGGTTAATCCTCATCAAACGTTTGTTCTGCACCTGTGTTCGTGATAAACAAATCTGATTGTGTTTTTGCAGATTATGGCTTTGGAATTGGGCGTGTATGGCATCAGAGTGAACTCAATTGCGCCTGGACTTTTCAAGTCAGAGATAACTGCTCCTCTGTTTCAGAAGAGGTGGTTGAGCACTGTTGCTTCAAAGATAGTGCCGCTTAAGGAGCATGGCGCTATTGATCCTGCATTGATGTCGCTGGTTCGCTTCCTGATCCATGAAGCATCGTCATATGTGACTGGCAACATCTTCATTGTAGACTCAGGTGCCACCATACCTGGTGTTCCGATATTCTCCTCCCTGTAAATTTTCGTTTAAGGTCTAGTTTACTGTAGCTAAATTACATATGATTGCATAAAGCAATCAGCTAAAGACTCCATGGACGAAGCCCTGCTTCTTGTATAGTTGATTCCCGACAATATTTCATCAGTTCTGCTTTCCACTATTGTTTTATGTATTTTCTCCAGAGACGCATAGTTTGGTATAGAATGGCAATCTTAAAAGATATTCCTTTATTTTCTAACCTTTCAAAACACCAATCAGAATGAATTACCTAAAACTGCCATTTAAGTGCATGAGTCATGACTCATGACCATTTTTTTTTTGGCCTGGTGCAAGCGGTAGAGTCTTACCGCCTATGATCTAGAAGGTCCCGGGTTCGAATCACGGTCTCCTCGCATTGCACAGGTGAGGGTAAGGCTTGCCACTGACACCCTTCTCCATACCCCGCACAGAACGGAAGCTCTCTGCACTAGATGCGCCCTTTTAGACTTTTTATAAAGAAAGACTCAGTTAATGATCAAGTCTGTTCGAAGTATTTGTAGTAAAAAAAGCGTGCCAATGCAGTTCAGCGGTACACTGGTACTCATTCCGTTCCAAATTATAAGTCGCTTTGATTTTTTTGTTACGTCCATTTTGCTATGCATCTAGATACAATAATATGTCTAGATACATAACTAAATGGATGAACCAAAAAAGTCAAAGCGACTTATAATTTGGAACGGAGGGAGTATAAAAAATGATGCGTTTGATTTTCCAGTGGTAGTACGTTCAATTTTTTTTCCCCAGTGGTAGTGTGGTACTGAAGTATACTGATGCAGTTTTGTGGGATAAAACTAAACAGGCGAGCAATCTTAAGGTGTTACAAAACCAACTTTAACTTCTCTTTATTATTTGTATTAACCTTGAGATACATTTTCTTGTCCTGATCCAATGTTTCAAATAATTTGATCTATGTTTAGCTAAACAGGGAAAACACACTCCATGCAGATAGAAAGCCAAAAAGTTAAATAAAATACAATAAGCTACTATGTACAGGATGTCTATTACTGATATTTTGTATGATGGATTAGAACGAAACAATTTTGTTGTCGTGTCAAGAAAAAAAAAATCATTGGCAGTCTGATCAATGCCTCACATTCGTACATTCTTGATTGGGCTTAAAGAATAATAATTTCACCAAGCTTCAAACAAATATATATATATAGTACAACTGTGAAACAAAAACCTCACTCAAATAAATAGTTCCAAAGTTTTGACCATAGTAGCTTTGTATGGAGAGGCTGACCTAATAAACAAATAGTTTACTGGTATTGCCAATTACAAATAAGAAACATCTAAACTCCATACATCTGCATGTTCTAAAATCTCATGTCCATCTTGTAAAGTTCCTCTACTCAAATCTCATATTGCATCCCAATCTGCAAGGTTTTACTAGGAGCTATCTTTAGACTGGAAATGTTGGACCTGAAGTTCTTCTGGAGGAACCTGTAGAGGTTGTTAATAACAAAGCGCTTGAAACAGTTTTGCTTGGAACTCATTTTTAAAATAACCCTTCCAAGTACAAAGGTCGTTCCATTTGCTAAAGCTGAATCCATCATCATGGTCTCATCATCACTTTGAGCTATTTCTTTGAGGGATGCAATGATTGATAGAACATACTCATCATCCTCCATATTCTGGGTGTCCATATAACCATATTGGACTATGCACCTGTAAACACCAAAAGGCTCTAGTCTGTCGAAGAGGAAGCGCTCTTCAGGCAGGACAGATGTCACTGGTAGATGCCTCACAGTGACAAACACCATCAGTTCGCGGAGACAACCCATGTGCTGAACGTAATGGCGCACAATTGGTGGGATGCCATTCATCAAGTCTGTGCAAAAGATGCATATTCCAGGTACTCTGTTGCTCATATTCACTGTTTTAATGAATTCCTGCCTATCCATCAAGTTACTCACTTCATATTCATTCTTCTTGCTTCGCCCATAGGTCCAAGAAAGTGTAATTATAAGGAAAAATGCGGTTATTGCAAATGGAACCCAGCCACCTTGTGCAATCTTATATAGGAGTGATATCGTCATGAGACCTTCAATGGCAGTGTAGATAACATAAAATAACCCAGCTATTGCAGAATGACTTTGCCATATTATGACCATGACCACTGTTATCAGATGTGTTGTAATAAGCATAACCCATATCACTGCAACACCTGCAGGCCAAAAGAAGTGTATATTATTTACCAGAGTTCCAATATTTATATATAACAGTGCATCCAGCTAACCATGATATTTCTATAAAGTACTATTTTAAATTTATGCAATACCACCTCTGCTATAAAAAAATGTGCTTTAAAGCCCATGTGCGTACCACAAAATGATGAATAAAAGTAGCAAACAAAACTAATATGGAAAAGTAGCAAAGAAAACTAATATAAGTGTGTGTTAGATTGCTTACCATAGGCTTGCCCAATCTCTGGTCCGCCCTTAAAACCAACAGTAATCAATATACAAGCAATCATCAAGAAGTAGTTGATCTCTGGAGAGTATACTCGGCCTTCATATTTTTTTGAGGTATGCTTCATGGTAACTCTAGGAAAACAACCTAAAGCAATTGATTGCTTGATGATAGAGAAACTGGCAGATATCAATGCCTGGCTTGCAACGATGGCAGCCAAAGTTGCTACGATAAACATTGGCCAAAACAGTGGCTCTGGGACGCTACTATAAAATGTAGTGCTGAGCTTAGATGGGTTCTTGATCAAAAATGCTGCCTGGCCAGCATATGCAAGTATCAGTGCTGGATAAACTAGGCATGAGTATGCCATCTGCAAGGACAAAGGAAAGGGTATTAACTAACAGTTTCTTATTTATATAATAGGATAGGAAAATTATCATATTAATTACCTGGATTGATTTCTTGTTGAAATGACCCAAGTCAGCAAACATAGCTTCGGCACCTGATCGCAACCGCAGTTATTTAGTTATGAATTGATTAACTAGCATAGTACTAGATTACAAAATAATCAGATATTGCTTGTGTTTCACATGAAGAATAGCTTTCTATGATTATATTGCATGTTTCTTGTTAAAACAAAAAAAAAGTATCATAGTTAGGTTACATTTCTTACCTGTTATGCACAAAACAACTGTTCCAAATTGCTCCCAGCCAGCCCTTTTGTTCCTCGCGAAGAAAAGATATATGTAATGTGGAGATATGGCTTTCAGAACCGGTGGATAATACTTGACAATATTGTATAGTCCAATGGATGCAATCAACGCAAACCACACGAGCATAATGGGAGAAAAAGTGAAGCCAACTTTACTTGTGCCATATTGTTGGAAAAGGAAAAGGATGACCAGGATAATCACACATAGGAGGACAACGTGTCCTGAAACAAGAAAGATAAAATATTACTCACTGTTTTTGCTTGCAACAATAAAATGGCTCTAAACAAAATATCATGACCAGGGATGGTAGGCAGTATTACCTTGTTTAATGCTAGAAGATCTTGATTGGATTCCTTGAACAGCTGACAGGACTGGATAAATTCGGAGAACAGCATCAGGAAATCGAAAAGAGAATTGGACCCTATTACTTTTAACTCTGAGCTAGGAATTGGGATGACAAATCAAAATGCTTTTTATGATTCAGTGGAATTTACATCCTTTATACATGTTTCAAGTTATTGCAGTAATGCTTTATGACAGCTGATTCTGCTACAGGCGTCATACAGATGGTTGTCTGACAGAGACTATTCTTTTTTTTTTTTGAAAGACCATAGACTACTTGGATTATGAGGTACTCCCTCCATCCCAAATTGTAAGTCATTCCAAGAATCTTGGAGAGTCAAATTTTTTCAAGTTTGACCAAATTTATATAACAAAATAATAATATTTATCATACCAAGTAAGTATCATTAGATTCTTCATTACTTATATTTTCATATTATACCTATTTGATGTCATCAATCTTTGTGTTTCTCTCTATAATTTTAGTCAAATTTAAAAAAGTTTGACTCTCCAAGATTCTTGGAATGACTTACAATTTGGGATGGAGGGAGTAATTAACTATCACTGTATTTTTCCTTAAAATAAAACAAACATTGTCCCATGTATCTTATCTTGAAATAGAAACAGTGATGATCTGATGAAGATGTAAAGTACTATACCTGAGATGGATGGGGTGAGGGCACCATCACCCATCACCATGCAAGTTCCAACCAGCACAAGGTAGGTGATGACTGCCTGCGCAATGGGGCTGCCTTCCAGGAACTTGAGCATCCTTGGTTGCAGCCTCCTCTTTTTGCTGTGGAACTTGAGGTTGGCATCTGATGCCAGCCGAGTGACCGGCACTGGCATCGACTTGCCGCTGAAATTGACGTGCTGGCGCAAGAGCGAGTACAGGGCAAAAGTGCCACCTGCACCGTACAATACAAGTACAAATACAATGTAAGCACGAGAGCAAGCAGAATGAGGGATGCTGGGAACCTAACGATTGATCTTTACAGGTTATCGGAACATTATCAGAATTTGTACAAGAACCAAATTCTGATCGAAAATTACGAGTATACTCTCCCTGATGCAGCAATTTCAAACATACGCGTGTTTGGAGGAACATTTTGTTTTTGAAATCTTTGGTACGGTTTAATTCCTGAAGATAGAGTTCTTTTTTTTTTTTTCTTTTTATATACGCAAGAGTGCCTTAATGCGTCTTTTTTTTTCAGAACCTATCTCAGCACTGCATATGCAACATGACGTGCTGTGGCACTGCAGATGTAACATGACGTACTGTAGGGAAGTGAGGCTGCGAGTTCTTTACATCTCTGCAATTTTTTCCTTCTGTCAACAACTTAAAAAATAAATTCTACTTTGCCCGTTATTTCGGTTCTTTGCTGTTAGAAAAAATAATAATAATAATAAGCGCGTCAACTGGACTCTTCTACTTTGCCCATTATTTCGGTTCTTCGCTGTTAATACAAAAAAAAAACGCGTCACAACTGGACGATACAGATTCGGCCACCTAAATTTATGGCAGTTTGTTGGATTTAACTAATTTGGCCACATTTTAAGCAGTGCACCAACCTTCCATATGCAAGATCATCATTAGAAGAACAGTACGTAAAAAAAGAATAAATACGTAGAGTGTACGACAGTGTACCTTCTCCGTGGTCATCTGCGTGGAGCACGATGAAGACGTACTTGACGAGGCTGACGAGGGTGAGCGTCCAGAGGATGAGGCTGAGGATGCCGAGGACGTCGTCGGCGCCGGGGTCCGGCAGGGTGAAGGACGAGAACGTGTACAGCGGTGACGTCCCGATGTCGCCGTACACCACGCCCAGCGACTGGTACCCCAGCAGCGCCAACTGCCACCCCGTGAACTCCTGCAGGCGGCGGCGGCGGCGTTACACGTTGGTTGTCAAGAAACAGTTTTCGTTGGAGATCGATCTGCATGCATGGATCTTATGTATCGTGTTCGTACCAGAGGGTTGCGGTGCCTCATCTTGTACGACTGGCTGAAGTTCCGGCGTGTGCGGCCGCCGCCGCCGCCGATCTGCTTGCCGTCGTCGACGATGCCGACGTCCTCCTCGGTGATCTGATCCGTCGAGATCCTTTCGTCCACGGCCGCAACGGCGGCAGCGTTCACCTGGACGATCACGTCGTCCGGCGGCGCCGCGCGGTGCTCCATCGTCGTCGCGCGCGCGTTAAACAGCTAGCGCAACCGGCGAACGCGCGAACCCTTGTAAATGTTCAACGCCAAACATACAGGAGATCGATCGGAATCAGTACAATATATGTAATCAGATTCAGATGAATGAATTCGTGCGTGCATGCGTGAGATTCAGTGAATCACAGTTCGTTCTTCTACCTTTGACTAGGGCCGCCCGACGGCCGACGAGGAGTGGAGCACCCTTGGACTTGAGAGGGCGCCGCAGCGCGAGAGGAGAGGAGATCGAGGGCAGGCTAGCCCTCCTCGCGCGACTGGACTTATATAGCACGCGCTCCGCCTATATGTTTGTTGAATGGTTTGGTTATTGGTTGAATCTGTTTGTATGCGTGTGGTCGTCCCTGCGTGCGCCCGTCTGGACCCTGTTATGTATGGTTAGTTGATGATCTTCGCCACGCCCGTGCATGCAGCTATATATGGTGTATAGTTAATAATACGGTAATTCTTGGAAGCGGGCGGAAGCTTCGGTTGGTAGGTGGGCCACGACGGCAGCCCAAAAAAACGCATCCTATAGGCTAGTCACCGTAGTTTGTTAAAAAAAATCGCAGCAGAGCTCGGCGGCGCACCGCTCCACCCGCGGCTCGTGGCGGCCACCCAAGGCGGCCTCCGCCCGTCGTGCTCGCCACGGTCACCCGCGCTCGTCTCGGCCAGGACAGAGGCTACCTAGCTCGCCGCAGTTGGGGTGAAGCTCGCCCACGTGCAGCTCACCGCATCGTGGGCGGAGCCCGTCCGCACACATATATATCGCGCTTCGCCTGCCCCAGCTCGCCGTGGCTGGGGCCGAACTCACCCGCGCGCAGCTCGCCACGGCCAGCCTGCCGTGGCCTTCTCCAACGGAGCGGCAAGCTCCGTGCCACCGGCTCTACACTGGTGAAGTCCATACCCGACAAGCCTCTATTCTCCCAAACAACACGGAGATGTTGCACTGAAACCGCATGTTGCAAGCATATGTTTCAAATGTTTCAGAGGTATGTTGCAAGTGTTTTACGCAGATGTTGCAAAAGTAGACCAGGATGTTGCATATGTTGCAATGGATGTACACGTATTTTGCAGGCTTCTGTTCTCAATGTTTCATCTGTTTTTCCAGACGTATGTTGCAAATGTGTTTATTTGGATGTTGCATATGTTTCACACATATGTTGCAAGTGTTTTATCTGAATGTTGCGTATGTTTTACAATGGTTTTAAAGTGTTTTTCAGGTGTTTTTGCAAGTGTTTTAGATGCTTGTTTCAAGTGTTTCATATGCCTTTAGACGTATGTTGCAAGTGTTGCATCTAGATGTTTCACTAGTAGATCAGGTGTTGCATCTCCCTTCTCGCTTTCTGCTGCGTTGCCTCGGTGTCTCCTCATCCCGACGCCAGTTAATGGGTATCCGCCGCCCCTCCCCTTCTTGTCCATGTTGGTGACGTCCGGGGGCGATGCGGGCCCCGTGTGGTTTTTGCAAGTGTTTTAGATGCATGTTTCAAGTGTTGCATCTGTCTTCAGACGTATGTTGTAAGTGTTGCATCTTAATGTTCCAAAAGTAGATCGGGTGTTGTATCTCCCTCCTCGGTTTCTGCCGCCTCGCCTCGGTGTCTCCTCCTCCCCCTGGCGCCAACTGAGCGTCCGCTGCCCCCTCCCCTTCTTCTCAATGCTGGTGATGTTCAGGGCGGCGCGGGCCCCGTGTGGGTGTGTGAAACGGTGCGAGAAACGGTTCACAGGCGCGGGCGTCCAGACGCTAACAGGCCCGTTAATAATAAAGCGAGGTTAGTTTGGCTCAACTAGTGCTAATTTAACAGCTAAAATCAATATTATTAATGGATCCAAACCGACCTTCTAATAGTCAAACTAACGCATAGCTGCTAACCACCTATTAGCAACATATTAATTAGCACGTAACAACCGCCTTTACATGCTAATACCCAACTAACAGTTACCTCACTAGTTGGGTCAAATCGGTTAATTACAGCTAATAACCGGTTTGAGCTATTAGCTAGCTAATTGTTAACGGGCAAATAGATCCAAATCTGAGTATATAAAAGAAACAGGAGAACTGCATAAGGTTTGGGATATATGAAGAGCATGCACAGCACTGCTAAGAGCGTTTCCAACGGTACCACAAACAAAAGCCCAAAAATCTGGTTTTCAAACATTATTTGTGTAAATATTAAAAAGGAAAAACAACACATCACCACTAGTTTTAGTTTCCAATAAATTTCTTGTTCTAAAAACAAAAGAGCAGGTCCATCTAAAGATTTTTTTTCTCATTTTTTTCTGCCAACCGCAATATACCCGACCATCCCCGCAACTAACTCACATCCAGAATCTCAAAAATGAAATCTCAATGGTGTGTTTTACCTCTCAGTATTCTCATATTTGAAAATAATATCTAGAGATTTCTAGCAAACCTCCTGAGCGTCGACTGACCAGACCGTCGACTGACCGACTGTTATTAGCCATCCTAGGTACCCTAATTCACAGCCAGAACCTACAAAAGGAAATCTCACGCTCTACTTCTTAGTAGATCATGTTGTCAGCCATCCCCCCGTTGCCCAGGTATCTTAACTCAGCCAAAACCTACAAAACAAAGTCTCTTGCTCTATTTCTCAGTATTCTCAGATCTCGTTGCCAGCCATCCCTGGTACCCTAGATCACAGACATAACCTACAGAGCAGGATCTCGATTGCCTACTCTATTTCTCAATATTATCATATTTGAAAATAGTGGCCTACAATCGGAAACTCCATTTCATGCTCAGATCTAGAAATAGTGGTCGGAGATTCAATCAAGTTGTTCGTGTATCTTTGTACTTGGATGTCTCTTTTTTTCCAAGCACAGATAGATTGGGAGTTAGGACAGTGAGTTGTTGGAGGAATGTTTTTCCCGTTGTGCCAACAATTTAAGATTAGGAGTAGCTTAATAAAATTGTTTGAGATGTTTCAAGCTAGGAGTGAAAAGATGGTGGACTAACTCATTCTGCAAACCAAATACCTCACATTGTGCCAAAAGAGATATACAAATGATACAGGAGGATCAAAACTTGACTCTGTTGCTACTATTAGCATATTTTTGGTTGCAAGATCCAAGTGGGATGTGCTAGCTTGGTTCCTCTTCCACAGACGTTTGGTTTGGAGACAATAGAGGACATAGTCATCGCTTAGGGAAATATACCTCCAAAATGTGGGTTCACTACATTTCAAAGGGAACGAAGGGTCGGACGGGGGCGTCTCAATTGTTGTCACGGGCCGTTTGCCCCCGTCCACTTTGTGGGCGCCAAGCAATGGTGATGCAGAATAGGTGGCCGTGACGGAGTCGAGGTGGTAAAGGTCAGGCGGCAGGCACAAGCGACGGAGGTGGAGCGGCGCTGAGGCAAGGCAATAGGCAAAGCCACTGTAACACGTTCAGGCTATACGGGCAGATGGTGGGGAGGCGTGTCGACCAAGCCCTTCGGCAGCTTGGTGGAGCGACGCCGGAAGAATTGAGACGAAGAAGAGAGATGCATGAAAGGATAAGTGGGCCCCACAGCTAACAGTGGCTGACGTGTGAATACTCCATCCATCACGTTTAGCTTAATCACCCCCAACCAAATGGAAAACAGGGATAGACCTATCAGTCTCAACCAAACACAGATGAGACCATCTCATCATCCCATAAATCAAGAACATAACTATCCTATACCGAACATCTCCAAACCCAATACATGCTTAGTTTTCATATACACTCTTATCATAAAGGATCAGATGTTGATCACAATATTTTTCAGGGGACAACGATACATAAATACTCAAATACATAAGCCAGGACTGTACAAAGCATTGCTCTGGCACAAATGCAAGCCGTGGGTGACTGTGTTGTCACTTGTGTCATTGTGGGAATCAAATTTCCCTGTTCGCTTGGCTTATAAACCGTGCTTTTTCAGGCAACGAACAGTACTTTCAGCCATGGCTTATCAGCCAAGCGAACAGGGATCTAAAATACATCCTGGAAGTCTGGAACTTGAACCAGCAGCAACGGACTCCCGACTGGGCACAAATGGCCATCGCATACCTAAACCCTAGCTACTAATACAGACATTAGCTAAAGCTGTGACTATGTGTGTAGTAGGCTCCACGAGTGAGAATGTGAGATACACGAGCGCATGAAACAATTACGCTAGGACCACATGGGAGGATTGCCACATTTCCTTCAGCTGCTTGTGCCCCTTCTCTATCAGTTTTGCAGATGAAACTAGACGGGTTCTGAAGCATCGGGCTCAATGCTACTCAGGAGTTGTGCTGAACAATAGTTGACCTGCCAGGGGACATATCATGCTGCAGTGCTGCACGCCAATGTATTCTGCAAATGAAGGTAAAAGAAATAGTGAGGCCAAGCATTGTTAGTTCTTGAAGGCGGCGATGCCATACAGAAATTACAACTCTGATAGTCGGGACTCGAGTTGCAGAGGGCAGATTGAATTTTTTTGTGTCTCATTAAAGCTGTAACTAGTGAGCACGTTGAGCAGGGTAATGTACCGAAAACCAATGATTTCAGCAGTACAACGTTGGATAAAGAAAACTTCTTCCACTGAACATTTTGCTTCTCTATCTCTATATGGTGGAGTATTTTCTATAGTAAGCATTCAACCAAATGACAGCCATCATTGCCAGCAAGTAAGTTTATAGCACAAGTGAAGTGAATATCTTTGGTTCTGCAGCAAAAAGGACTGGCCACAAACGCTTCAGGACTTTTCCACAGGTGCACAAGAGTTATGTAGATGCTGAAAACCTCTCTAATGGAAGTTTTGCAGCAATAAACACAGGCCAAGGAGGTCAAAGATTTTGAAAGCCACAAATGTATGCTCATAATTTCATGATTGAGTGGAACATAGAAAACCAGTTTTGTTCATCTTTACTTCTTTTCAGAATTTTGAAAGTTCAACTTTCTTTGAACGTTTTGACGATAAATTTTGATTAATGCATTGTTACTAGTCTCAGAAAAGATTG